GAGTGCACAATTATGTATTTCACTCCCGCTCTCTCCTAGCAAAGCTCATGTGCGATCGATGTATGTTTGTATTTTTGTTTCGCCTGAGGATCAAACTGTGAAGTGAACCGTGTGCATGCGTGGATTGTTTAATTGTAAAACGATTTGTAAGTTGATCAATGTAATTTGCACCCGCCAATTTATCCGCACATTCATTGGTTTTGAATCGACCGTTTCCAATATTTTGTTCTCTTTCATTCTCTTTTCTACTTTCAAATACACTCTGGCTCTCACTCTTGATGAAGTGCATAGTTGACGATTTTTTTTTTCTCCACTTTGGAAATCTCTATTTACATATTGCATTTTCACATTTGCTTAAATAGCAGCGCGAACGATGACGTCGCCATGACATTTTTTTTTATATTCATACCAAAAGCCTTAACCAAAAGAATACGAAACAGAGTGAAGAGAGAGTGCGAGATAGAGAGAGAAAAAAAAGTATAAAAAAACCGAGTGAACAGTAACCAAATAAAATGAATTATTCGCTGACTGAGTATATCGAAAAGGCGAAAAACGAATTCGATTCCGCTTTGCAATCACATACGCAAATTGCAGACGCTGCATTTAAAAAAAAATGCGCGACGGTGTACATGGAGAGCGCATTTGTGTCGACACACAGTATGATGTACATGTAGTTTCTTTGCCTCTTCCCTCATGCCAGCTTTCTCGCTGTTCGTCTCTTTTTCGCGCTTCGAATCAAATATAACACTTAAAACATACAACCAAACGGAATATATAATATTTTATTTTCGAGAGACAAACGCAGTAACTAAATTCAATCGCAACTCATGAGCTCTTGTTCGCGCGCGCACCCGCATTTGCACTCGAACGCGGGTGAAAAAATATATATATATACATGATATTAATATCCAACGAACAAAATGAGTGTGAGTATATGATTCGAGTTTAAGGCCGGTCACAGGCGTATGTTTCAATATGTACACATTGCTCACACACTATCGTATCACACACAAGCACGCATGCACACACACACACACACATTATACAACTTATTGCGAAAAGGAACGCACGGATCAAGCCACATTTTATTTTTGTAATTACATACATATCTCTCTTGCTTTCTATCTATCTATATTTCTATCTCTTTTTGAATGCGCCAGTTATAAAATGCTAATATATATATATAAAAAAAAAACAACGAAAAAGAGAGATACAAAACTGTCAACAACACATTCTATAAATATTTCTTTTTACAAATGTAATTGAATGGTTTTATTTCGATTTGTATTTTATTTCTTCGGGCAAATCATGTATAAATTACCACTTTAACACAGGTAATAATTCTTGCATTAATATTGAAAATAAAACAATTAAACAGCAAACGATGTGATATGTCATAAAACTCTTCATTAAATGAAGCTTTCAAAATGATGATGATGAGTGTGTGTGTGTGCGTGTGTTTGGTTTTAGAACCATTCTCAAGATCGAATGCGTGCAATATATTCATAAAGAAAACTGATTATGGACGAATGGTTAAAAACATGCAATAAAATTAAGAAAATAAATTGCCTATTATGCAAATAGAAAACATAGGCGCGCGAGTATCAAATAATTGAGTAGATGCATCTCATATACACATATATGTGCGTACGGTCTCTGTAACATAATGGATGTGCAGAAATAAAGAGTTCGAACGAGTACGTTCATTGTGTGAATCGTGTGCTTTGTGAGTATGTATCATGTGATCGACAAATAAGTTGCATATCTCATATGAATGACTGAAATTGTGTGTACGAAGCGCATCATTGGAATACAATGAATTTGGAATGAAACGAACAAAACCATATGCAGTTTGCGTTCTTAGCAAAAGCCAGGCTTATTTTCTTCGACGAGTGTCTCGACCAAACAGTTTTTATAACTGCCTCTCACTTTCGTACGCATGTACTTAAACGAAAATTCCGACTGTGGACGTTTATTTGTTTATTTTTTTTCTCTCTCTCTCTTCTCTTATTCAGTTGTGTTTTGTCTTTCGCTTCTAATGGGCACCGTTTTTTCAGATTTTTATTTGTTATTCGTGCTTCTGCTGAAGTAAATATTTTAAAAGTGCATCCAATTGTATTTGTTGTATTCTCTCTTCCATTCTTAATATATCTGTTGTCCTTCTTTGGGGTTTTGTTTTGAGGGGGAATTTCTTAACAATTGTTGGAAATTGATTTGATTTAGACAAAGTTTTGGCCTTAATAACGATCCGATTCTACGATCATCTTAATAACGATCAAATGTCAAACAGAAGCAGTCTCTTCACTTTGGAAAATACCACTGAATGCAAAAAAACAATTGACAAAACAACAATCAATTTACCAATGAATCACCCGAAAAAGTAACCGCACACTCAGTGCCACTGCATGATGCATGATTTTTGCGTATATTTAATACTCTCTTTCTATTCTGATGCTTAATTTTTAAGTGCTCGCATCTCATTCACGCTGTTTGCGTCTGATCATTTATCCAGAAGCGTTTTTTTTTTAATTTCTGTATGTGTCTCTTTTCATTTGGTCTTTTGTATTTTGCGCGCGCAAATACAGTTGAATTGTATGCGTTGGAATTTTGTATATATCGCTACACTTGGTGTAATTCGATAAATTAGCCAAAATCAACTGGAAGTTAAAACGTAAAATGCAAACAAAACATCCAACAAACGGCACAAAATATAAATAAATAGAGTGAAGAGTGCAAGGCACAGTATAAGATGTGTGTAAAGAGGCAAATACGTACTCAACTGAAATGGCAATTTACAATTGTAAATGGGAAAGCGTGAACGAGGCGTAAAAAAAATAAACCGCTGAAAACGCAACGACGCCAAATAAATTCAAATCTAACATAAACAAAATTCAACTCTCAAGTTTTTATTGAAATTGCTCATTTTAAAGCAGCATCAGCAGCTTGGTTAATTCAGCCAAAGCAAATATACAGCGATTTAAGCGCACGATAAAAACCCTTTTGCATGCACTTTCTCGGCTCTTACTGATGCACTTTTGCATATATTTGGTTGTTGCCTTTTTTTTTAAGTAGAATTTAAATATTAAAAGAAATAGAGTTTGATTTCATCATTGCTTCACACATGTTGTTTATATATATATATAAATTTTACTATTGCAGGATGTTGTTTTAGGCAACGATCTTTACGAGATTTACATTTTCCAAACGTGATCTAATGCACTTTTATTTATCCAAGACACTACATAATGCGAAATTATCGATTGATTCCACGCAATTCAATTTAGCGCTACACATCGAAAGATCTTGCAGAGAAAGACACGGAAAGTCCACTGCAAAATATAAAAAAGACTTTGAATTTTGTGGAATTTCAAAAGCAGAAAATTCAATGGATGAATTTGGATGCATCTCAGTCAGTAGCGCCCGTCAAAATACTAAGGCAGCAATAAAACATTCAATTTGATGCTTATCCGTATTCAGAGCTCGACGATTGCCTTGTTTTATTTTCAAAGGGCAACTTGTATTGAGAAAGAAAAAAAGAAATGCGCCTAAAAAATTGTCAATAGCTTATATGAGCTAAAATAATGCGTTTTTCTCATCATTAGTTACTGTTTTGCCGACTTAAAACTGATAAGATTTGCTTGCACAAAATCATATTTGATGTGTATTCGAATGCAAATTCAAAAAGCCAAATGTTATCCTCAAAGAATGCGCCATTTATTTATTTTTCTTTTAACCTTGTTTTAATGAGTAAAAAGATCAGTGTAATCTATTTTTAGTGGATCACATCTATGAGCATCGTTTGGCATCTGATGATTAGATTTGTTTACGGTTTTGATTAAATTAACGTTTTATTTGTAACGGAGAAAAAATTATTACTATCATTTCATGTCATATTAAAAATTTGGATTTTCCACACCACATTTATTGAAATTATTGATTTTTTTCACGGATAGATAGCACCAGATCAACTGATGTAATGTAATAAGCTCTTTGTATTTCCTATTTGGTCAATTTGATTTTCAGCCGTTGCTAAAAAAAAGGGATGCTATCGCCAAGTCAATATTTTAGTTTTCATGCCATTTCAACTTAAATTTTATACGCTTATTTTTTTGTATTGGACGAATATCAAAATACGAGCCCTAAATGTAGTTTCTCGTGAAAGAAGAGCATAAAAGTTTTTAAACTCTTGCACTAATTTCAAACTTTTGTCGAAGCACAATTTCTTTGTTCTTCGCCCGAAAAATGTCATTTTCGATTTGAAGACGTTGAAAAATAATAAAATCCATTTTCAAAAGCCTAAAATGACAATATATATGTAGAAATCATTTCGATTAATTTCGAACAATATTTAAAATGAAAGTAGACAGAATTTGTACAGCGCTATATCAAATTGAGTGGTCGTCGGCATTTTATCTTCTTTACAATTTTTAATACCATCACGTTTTCGACCATTGAACGATTGCTTTTTTTGTCATACTTTAATAGTAATCTATAATAAAAAATACATGCAGCCTTCATAGCACTCCACTTGAGATTAATTAATGAAGAATATTTTGAATGATTTGTTTAAAAAGCAACAACAACAAACAAATAAACGGAAAAAAATTGTATTTAACTGCACCGAATTCATTACCAATCAAATGCAAAACAATGCATTCACAATGATACAAAGAGTCACTGTATAGTTGGAGTGAGGTCGGTGCCAATACGGTAACAATTCTAGCCAACCAAACAGCAATCAGTGAAAAAAGTTATGATGAATGGAAATTTAAATAAAAATAATATAAAGAAAACTCAAGAAATATTTTGTTTTAAGAAAAAAGGACGCAAATAAATAAAAAAAAAAAATTCGTTTTAACGAAATGAAAAGAAAAAAATATGTGCACGAATAAAAATAAATATTGTGTTTTGTGTTAGTGTTCCTTTTATCGATTGTTTTTGGTTTTAGTTCAAACAAGTAACGATAAAAAACAATTGATTTAGTTATTTATTTAACTCACTATTTGTTTGCGTGTTATGAGTGATGAATCGCAGGACCGCTTCGCTGGGATGTAGCACATTCAAATCGAAAGAAATATTTAAAAAAAGTTCACACCGCATTCACGATGATGTTTTTCTTCGTCGCAGTTTTTTTTTCAAGATTTTGGTTTGTTATTGTTTTTGGCCATTTCATTGATGCCGCATTTTATTCGACTTTGCTACCGGCATGCACACAGTGTCAATGACTGTAATTAAGTGATTCAGATGAAAATTGTCCAGATATTATCAACACGAAAGAACCAAATGCATGCGGGATAATACACTTAACTTTTTTTGTTGTTGTTGTTGTGTTTTTTTCGTTCAACAAAAGCATAATCGGTTTTATTTTTTGCACGTAAAACAATGTTTATCCTGGGGCGTATTAAGTAAATTGAATGATTTACAGGCGTTAACAGGTTCATAACAAAATAAACACACACCAAAAAATGTTTTGCTTTCACGCACTCTTTTTTTTTTTAAATTCGTGTGGATTGAAATTGAAAACAGGCGATAAAAAAAAATCGGAAATAATATTTCTTAACTAATCACTTTAATTGAATTTTTGTTTGTTGCGCTTTGTCGTAGTTTTTTTCTGTTGCAGTTGTTCATGGTGTTTTTATTCATCACTTGTTGTTGATAGAAGCGCACATACAAAAGTTATTTTTATTTAAACTGAACTTCTGATCACTTTGACGCTGTTTTTGCGAACCAAATGAAATGGATTTAAGTAAGAACAACGTTTTATTTTTTAATAAAGAAAACAACAGTTAAAAAATGTGGTCAGCACTTGTTTTTTCGGGTCAATTTTGCATTAAATTCCGTAATAGTTGCATTTACTCTGTTCAAAGTTGTTCTTTCAGTGCGTTTTTTTTTGTTTTGAGTGAGAGTTGCCGAAAAATGAACTTTCAACGGTCCTCCCTAGGTGGAAAAAAAGAAAGAAAAAATAGAACGTATAAATAATTGATATCAATATACTACTTAAGGTGTTAATTTTTCAAGGAATGCTCCTCTATATTACAATATTCAATCGAATTTTTTTTCCCCGATTTTTTGTTGTGTCGTTTCATTAATGTATGTTTTATGTGAAAATCGATTAATAAATTTCAAAATAAAATCATCTCTCATCAATGATGGGATAAATTTCATGTCGCGTAATTTCTTTGTAAGCGATTTTCAATATCAAAATGATTTGAACGACATCGTATTAAAAAAAAAGGGAAGAAGAAACACAAACACCAAAGTAATTTTGTACACATAATTCCGTGACTGAAGAAGCAAAAGAAAGAATCGAACAAAAAAAAAAGGTTTTATGTACAATCGTCGTCATCGTTGTTCACAGACATCCAAACGAACGGTGGCCAATCAAAATTATAAATCGGTATTATGTGTATGGACACATCGAAAACCGAAACCCGATAGAGTGAAGAAAGAAAGAATGAATGTATATACAGAAAAAATATTTTTTTTTTTCTTCACTTCGTCAAGTGCACTGGTGTGTGCCAATATAATATTAATCATTCGTGCGATTGAAAAAGCAAATGCGATAGAGATAGAGTGTTTTTATATATGTATACATATTATATGAACGTCACAATCGCAACACAACTTGCACAACCATATTGAGCACTGTTTTATCCAGTTTGACAATTAATGAATCGCCACAAACGGAACTGCCAGAAAAGCCGACTAAGAAATAAACACACAACGCATATTCACATGTAGGCAAATTCATTCAAAACATAACATCACAAATCAGCCACAATGAAACGCACAATACATATTAACACAACACACAATAAAGAGGCTAGAGAATGAATGAGCGAGTGAGAGATCCTGCGAATAAAACTAAAAAAGACAGTAGAAAGTCATACAACAACAACAAACACATCAGATGAGAATTAAATTTCTCAAAAATAAAAATCACGACCAACACACGATCGAAGCAGCTAGAGAAAAACCGAAAAATTCGTAAAAACGAACCGTGATTTATAGCAAACCAAATAAACAACTTGAAGAGTTAAATTTTAAATGCAATTTGGAAGTAAGACACGCACGCACGCTGAACATCGTCAGGACATTTATTTGGTGTTTTTGTTTTCATATGTGATACAAACTCACTCACTCGATCTCTCTCTCTCTATCTCTCTATCGGTCAAAAATGAAAATTGTAGCAATAATGCAAATAAAGAAGAACACACGAAAAAAACTACAACAATAGCAACAACGACAACAATTACAACAACAACAATAACAAAATGATTGAACTAAATAAGCGCACCGCGTTTTTTCGGTTTGTCTGGCGAACACTTTAAAGCAACTTGATAAACTAACCGGAGAACCCGCGCGCTTTTACTTGATAATGCTTTTTTGCGTTCTACCATTGAGAAACATACATATACAAACAAATATAAAACTGAGAGAGAGAGAGAATGAGACTCAATGTGGAGAGAACACATAAAGAATGCTCGTTTCTGTTGCATCCACATATTAAAACTGGATGGGAATCTATATTCTATAGTATATATTCCAAATGTATAGAGTGTTGTAAAGCGCATACAGTGCGCCCAACAAGCACGAAGCGGAGGTGGCGGCTGCTACAATATATATATAAAAATATATAAATACGTGAAAACAACAAATACAAAAGTCCAACAACGAAACATCAGCCAGCAGCAATTGTCTCTTTCATTCGTGCAAGATATTCGTTTTTGTCGTTTTTCTTGTGCCTCTACTTCGATTTTTGCATTTGCTTTGTAAACGCGCGCGAGTTATATTTATTTTATTTTTCGTTGATTTTATTTTATTTTTGTTTGTAGTTGATATAGCTGTTGCTGTTGATTTCTTCTTTTTTTCGGTTATTCTGTTAGTGTGCAAAATTTTATAAAATGCATCGGTTATTCGATTGCCTGTGTGTTCTAATGTGGAGTGATGTTCGTTCTCTTTTTTTCGTACGCGCAACCCGTACGCCTTGTCATCGTTGTGTGTATGTCAAAATGTCTTTATGGCCATTTATGAATACATACTTTATGGCAATGTCGTATATATATAACTGGGCAGACATGTGTTAAATCGGCAAAAATAGTTAAGCAAATGTGCATTCGTGCGATTTGCGACTATTTAAGGCCGCGTAAGAATGTGTTGCTTATTCGGGTCTCCATCTGTGAACACACAGAGAGTATATTTGAGTTTGTTCAAAGTTTTGTGGTAGCGCGCGCGTTGTCTTTCACATTTATGAACACTCCACTCCGCAATGCAAATGTACCAAAGTTCAAAACTAAAATCAATTATCGATTGCCAATTGTATTTTAAATATCTGAATTAACCGAAAACTGTTGTGCTCTATGTTGATTGAAATAGTTCGGCGTGAAATGAAAAGGGTTCATTCATAATTTTTTTTTGGCGCATAAATGATGGCCAATACAATCATAACGCCGTTTCTTGTCACCATCATATTTGCCGTTGTTATTGTCGTCGTCATCGTCGTTGTTGTTAATAGCTATATTCGATTGTGGCGCACATTACATAACCAAAAGTCTCATATCAAACTCTCAATCAATATAAATGCGCTAGGTCGCACAAAAAAGTGCATCTCTTTCATATATTACCGACAAATTCATCGGTCTGTCTTTTGTATCACATAAAAAGTCACATTGAGAAGGACCGACAAAAATATTACAAGAAGATCCGTTGTGCTTTGCATTTATATTCGTTTTCATCGCGTTTTGATGATATTCTTGTGTCTTATTGTGCACGTATATGCGTGTGTGCGTGCCATTTACCAATGTAACCGAAGCGATGCAAGAAGAGGTGCATGAAAATTATGTGCGAAAAAATGCATGAAAATTGGTAGTCGCGCGAACTTTTGGTGTGCATTGAAATTAAGTAGCACGTGCCAATGTATGTTCAACTGGCAATTTGCAGCGGTAATATACGGAGTCCGCGAGCGCGATCTCCCGAACTCTTGACTCTCACTCTATTATACACTCTCCTGACACACACACACATACACACAAGCGTACGGATACAAATGGTGTACATCTTGCACGGCGCGCTGAAAAAGTGCTCGTTCCATATCTTATTGTGCTGTAGATTTGATTGTTTCCTATCGTTTTTTCTTGATTCTTCAAGTCACACACACACACATACACATACTTCACCTCGCTTTCGGCATTCTATTCTTTTTTCCCTCTTTCTTTTGCTATTACTTGTTTCACATTTCAAATGAAGTGGAAAGTGCTTTAGCGGTCGTTTGATCTTCAACCATGAGCATTCGATGATTAAGTCGAACGATGAAACATTTTATTTTTGCCAAAAAAAAAATTGTTCGTTTTTTCTTTTACTTTTTGATGCTTGAATTCATATTCATGGAAATGTTTGCCATTTGAACTGTATGGAATGCATTTTTCTTCATCTCCTTCTCCTTCTCTCTTTTGAGTAACTTGTCAGCATTTTCAGCTTGTGTGTGTTTTAAGAAAGAGCTCACGAATACAATTAGTCATCAAACGTTTTTTTCTTCTTTTCTATGGATTATTTTGCAAGTCATATAAAACATAATATATATTTGTTGCCATCGTTGTCGTCAATCAAATTGCTGTTGCTCTGTGTGCTCCGCATGTTTAGTTTAATCCTGTCTGTGGATTTTTGCATTATTTTTGAATGTGCGTGCTCTGTGAATGTATATATTAATATTTTTGCACCGCATACAATTTTTGTGCCACACACAACAATTTCCAGTCTAAACATAGAAAAGCGCGGCCCTGCATGTATGTGTGCTTCTGCATGTGTGAGCGCGCGTGTGCATATAAATGTGTGTGTGAGAGAGTGTATGGTTTTGCGAATGCATTTGGGGAGACACACAGAGCAATCGTTTTGATCCCTTTTGAACATTTACATCGCATCATTGGCATTAGCATCAGTTTCGTACCATTTGAATATGCAAACCAATTTGCAATTTTTTTCTTTTATTTAATTCTTTTTCATTCGTTCGTTCATTCGTTGTGAGTCGATTGCATTTTTTTTTTCTCGCTGTTTCTTATTCGTTTACATTGCTATTATTCATTCGTGTCGTTCGTTTTGTGCCTTTTTTCGTTCTTGTTGCTAAATGTTTCAGTATTTTTTATTTCATTGTTGTTGATCTGTTTGGTTTGTGAGCACGTTTGCTCGCTTACTCTCTAGTTGCATTTTCTCTCGCATAATGCAAACAAAATTCGTCACATATCTCGCACGTACACACAGTACACATATATATATATATACATACAGGACGCGCGATATACAAATCGAACACACAGTTAAACCGACACTAACTCCCTCACTCTCGCACAATATCGATGATGAGTGTTTGGGGCCAGAGTATGAGAGTGTAGTGGCTATTTTTTGTTCACTTCTCTCTTTTTTTTCTCTCGGTTTATTTGTTGTACGGCTGTTGTTTTTCGCTCTGAAACGATATCCGTATTTTGTGTTGTGTTCGAATGTAACAAATGGTTCGAAATGTGTGCATAATATTTTATTGCGACGCAGCGTAAACGAAACGCGAAAAAAGAAGATAAATTGATGTTGGCGGTATTGATGTCTCATTCATTTTCTGTTATTCTCGTTACTGTTTGGGCAAAAGAGATGGTGATATGCTTTGTAGTTAATGCATGTAACGCATATACACCATATTATTGACTGCCGTGTGCCGGTCGCGATATACCACATAGACATAGACATACCTTCGGCATTTATCTAAATATACGCTCTGTAAATCAATGCGATAAAATTGAAAAAAAAAAGAGTATGAACGAAAAACAAAAAAAAAAATATCGCAAAAACACGCAACAGAAACAAAAACAAAAACACACCACTGCGGAAGATAGAGAGAGTGAGAAAGAGAAAAGCAAATGTGCATCGCACTCCGGTATGTACTTCTATTTTATCTGTTAAAAATATGTGTTCAGTGATATTCATTTCGTTGTGAACTCTTCTTCTTCTCTTTTTTTAAATACAAACGACTCTTTTTAACGCTATATCTTTATCGTTCAATTTGCTCTCTTTCTTTTTTACTCCTTCTGTCTGCTTGCGGCTGAATGAGAGGGTCACATCATATACATAGCTGTAAATCATGAAAATCCCTTTTTGTAGCGAAATAGGTAAACGACTGATATATCAGCCTGTTTATAGAGATGCATTCAAATTCAATGTAATGGATTCGATCACACAGCGAATGAGTTATTGTATTCAGATAGATTCAATGTGCTCTGAAATAAATTCTCTGCTCCTCGGATTAAATTGTCGATTTGCACGCCTCTCAAACAGTTCATTTAAAAAAAAATCAGATAGAGAGAGAAAGAACGACTACAAAAGTTCAATTGAATTTAAAGTTTTTGAGTTGCATTTAAATGCGATAAAATCATGGATAATCCAAATGTACTTATTTTTT